TACAATTTTTTTTTTTTTTATTATTTACTCACCATAATGTCATTCCAAACCCATATGCTGTTATTTATTTTTTTTGCTTGTGGGCCATAAAAGGGGAATTATGAAGGTTTTTCAAGTGGTTTTGAACAGCAGTTCATAGTGGCCTGTTTTACAGTATGTTTTTTTGGAGAATGAAAGAAGGTAATCATTAGTCACCATCCTTCAAAACTGTGCTTTTGTGTTTCACTGAGAAAAGAGAAAAAAATGCGGGATTGGAGCAATATTAGTGTGAGTAAATCATGACAGAATAATCATTTTTAATTAAACTATTTTTTAAAGCTTATTTATAAGGTCTTTCCTTTACTAACTTTTCATTTCTTTTTTTCACCCTTTACATAATCATTTACACTGAATGTTTGTAGAGTCCTTTAATAATAAAAAGGAATTACAGAGTCTAGTCTTAATTTATGGACCAATCCAGTCATGGTTATTTTGTTTGTTATTCTGTTTTCATTACCTCATCTTCTCTGTTAATCCCTCCCTCTCTGTTCTTAATTCTGTTCAATATCTGATTAAATTAGGAGAAATCGTGAAAACTCATTACTGCTGTGTGTCATCTGCTCTGACCTTTGACCTCCACTGTCATTGTTTAGCAGGCAGATGTCATTCCTCCCTCCGCTCCCATAATCCCTGTGATCCCTATCTCACCCGTCCCAGCCGAGACCACTGCCATTCCTGCACCCACGTCACAGGTCTTTTTTTTTATCTCATGTTTTTACTCCACCCACCTCAGCGATGGTCCTCTTGACTTAGAGAGATTACATAGAGAATGCCACGTTATATCGCTGATGCGCACTTGCACCTCAAAAGCAATTGTGCTAGTGAAGCGTTGCTTGCAGAAGGATTAGGTCTGCGCTGGTTTGTTATGCCACTGTATTGCATATTCTGCAGTATGTTATGCTGTGTATGGACACAGGCTGTGCTGTTAATCTCTTGCAAATGCCAGAGTAATACTGTATCAGCATGCCAAGAGTAAGTGATGCTTTTTTATCGGATCTATTTCTTGTTTTTTTAATAGTTAACTGTTTGTTTCTCTGTTTCATTCTCAGTTGGTTAGGGAAAAGAAGCAAGGTGCACAGTTATGGGTCTTGATTCATTTCAGCTCAAGTATTAATGAATGTTTCTTTTGCAGGCAAGCCCCGCACCGATGGTGGTGAACACAGAAAGCCTTGACACCTCGCCCTATGTAAGTCCATATGTAAGTGATGTTTTTCTTTATGTACTGCACTTAGCGAAGAGGTAGATTATTTCAGAATGCTGTTCAGTTATATATAATATACAGCATACAAAATCAATTCAATTATTCCAAAGTTTGCTGCACTTATTTGATCAAAAATACAGTAAAAGCAGAAATATTACTACATTAAAAAACAGTGTTCTATTTTAATATATTTTAAAATGTAATTTATTTCTGTGTGGGCAAAGCTGAATTTTCAGCAGCCATTATTTTAGGTTTTAAAGTCACATGATCCTTCAGAAATACATTCTAATATGCTACTTTGATGCATTAATTAAACAGCATTTATTTGAAATCTTTTGTAACAATGTTAAATGTTTTGTGACAATATAAATGTTTACTGTCACTTTCAGTCAATTTAATGCATTCTTGCTGAAAAAATGACTGAAAAATATTCATTTCTTATGAATGTGTGTGTGTGTGTGTGTGTATATATATATATATA